AGTGTGTGTTTGGTAGGGATTTTTTGGGGGAAGAATTGATTTTGAATAGTGATATGAGTGGAAATGTGTGGTTGAAAAAGAAGATAAGATCATTGATGTGATAGAAAATATTATTTTATTGAAAAATGTGTGGTTGAAAATGAGAATTGATTTACTGTTGAAAATGAGAATTGGTACCAAACATAGCCTTAGTATTTTGCATGACAAATTCTAAATATCGCACACGATATTTTGGATTTCTTGATTTAAATGCAACTCGTAGCTCCTTTTAAATTTATATTCTTCTGTCCCATAAATTAAAAAAATATAATTAATATGGTTGAAAATATAATTTTACTTATATTTCCCTTACTACACCGTACATTAAGAGAGTGTTTGATTAAGCTTAGAAGGAATTAAAAAGTACTTTTAAGTTATTTTAATTTTCAATTAATTTTTTTTATTTTTGTTGTAACTTTATTATTAAAGTTACAAGTACTTATTCTAAAAACTACTTTTACATTATTGTGAAGGTAAATAACAAAACTCTGACTTCACTAATAAAAGAATATTTATTACTTATAAGTAAGCTTTTCATGTACGATTGCAACGAACGGTGCACGATAGATATGCATTATTAAAAAGATTTGAGTAGAATAATGAATTAAAATTTTAATAATTAATGTAGTTCTGTTTTTGTACAACAGTCGTTACTAAATATAACAAAAATGAAGATGGAGCGGTAGAAATCTGTCACTTGACTTGTTTCTTTCTCTATATTTTTCACTTTTTGGTTGGTGTCTGAATTTTGTACATCATTTTACAGAAGTTAGTACATTGATTTAATTATTATTGAATGGGAGACACCAAAATGTTGGTACAATTTTAATGAAGGTGACAATGTATATTGATGGAGAACACCTAAGGCATTAAGTCACGTAATAGTTAGAGGAATAGGCTTTAATGAGAATATTTACATTTTTTTTTATCATACCATTAAATTATATATCTTATTAGATAATATATATCTTCCCCGAATTTCATATCTCCCTCGTACTTTGATATTAAACTACGACTTTTAAAATCTTTTTCAATATCTTCATTGAATTAAAAGGAATAACGAGTCATTTAAAGGTCCCAAAAATAGAATTACATCGTTCATTTCTATCACAAGCAAATTTCCGTGTACTCTTTAACAATATTTGTTACACTGTCTCCTATTAATGTCGAAATACTCTCCAATAAAGATTTAATCTCAATAAATAATTTCTTGAAACAAATCATCGATGTCTTCCAAAATTGATAATTTTTCGTATTATCTATCTAACTAGTAAAACAAAGTGTAACATCATTAGTGAACTCTTCTACATGAAAGAGTCTAATTGTCATAATTTTCTCTTCAATATGTTTATTTTCTTGTTATATTGATAATCAATAAAGTGTCATTAAGGAAAATCATAAAAACAAAGGAGTCAACATCTATAACCATCTCGAGGAATAGACGATAATACCTTTTCCCGAATGACAATAAAAACTACGATATGAGATGAGTGTCTCTTTTTCTAGAGCACAAATTCAATGAAAATAGATCGCTAGTCATTTCAAAGTTCTAAAAATTATGGCATTCTTCATTTTTATCTGCAAAGACAAATTTCTATTTGCTCTTTAATAATCCTCGATACATTGTCTCTCGTTAGTGTTGAGATACTTTCCAATGAAGATATAATCTCGATTAATAATTTCTCAAGTAAAATCATCAATGTTTTTTCCGGAATTGATAATTTATTTTCTTACCTATCTTACTAGCGGAACGCATTGTAATATCATTAATGAACTCTTCTACTCAAAAGAGTCTATACAATTTTATCTTCAATGAACTTATTTTTGTTGTATTTAATATAATTAATAAAGTTTAAATTAGGCAAAATAAAGGAAAAAATATTTTTCCAAATATAAATTATAAGGAAATAGTAAAAACAAAGGTGTCTGCACATATAACGGGCTAGAGGATTAGGCGGTAAAACCATTTACGGACGAAAAAAAAAACCTACGTAAGTTTCATAATTTATGATTAGTAAAGTAATTAAGAATCATAATTAACCATGCCGTTAAAGTTAAGTGGTTAAAATCCTTTAGTCAAAGATAGACTGACGTGTTATTCAGCCATTATCACGTGACCTAAATCACAAACTCCAAAAAGCAATTAAAATAGGAAGAAATGCTAAAAGTTTCACCTTTTATCCCTAAATTAATTGAGGAGTAATATTCCATCAAAAAATAAATAAAAATTGAGGAGTAATACTATTGAGCCCTCATTGGGTTACGATCACAATATACGGGTCGCTAATTTGGAATTAATTGATAGATAAAATTAAATAAGTCATTTAATTTTATATTTTATTTAGTCTATCATCTAACGCTATCTAGACTGAGGTTGTAACTCCAATGAAGTTACATGACATTATTCTTAATTTAGTTGAAAATTGATCTTCAACATTTAAAATGAAACAACTTAGCCCCTGTTTGTTCTGCATTTTCAACCAACTGCTAGAAAATTTATGATCGTTTTGTTCAAACTAATGGGCCCCATCATCACACAAAACGGTCAAATGTCGACTAGGCCTTTCTGTGCAATGGTTACAATTTTCATACAAATTAGTAAAAAATGCAGAACAAACAGACTCTTAGTCATCAACTTTTTTAATTAGATGATAATAGGGTAGAACAACATTTTTCGAGGATGAAAATTAAAAAATCTCTATTATCATTCTGTAAAAAGTAAGAATCAATGCAACGACATATTTCTTGTCCTCGTCCCGATTTCCTAACTAGGCGGAGGGATAGTTGCAAATTTGTTTTTAACAATTACTTTTCATATTTTTATTCAATCATTACATGACCATCGTTAGCTGACTCTGTTAACCTAGATTTGATTTTTTAAAATTGGCTGACCCTACAAAATTTAGGAAAAACATGTTTTTTTACTAAAGACGTGACCACCATTTAATTAAGATGTCGACAACTTGAAGGAAAGGATCATTTTGTGCCCATGATCTGCTAAAGATAATGATCATCTCATCATTTGGATTTGAACTAATATACTCGTTTTGAGCTTTAGCAGTTGCACATAAAGAACAAGATTATCTATTAAAATTTGACTAAGGATCAATACTGTAATTTATCCAAAAAACAATACCCTGCTGGAAATTGAAATTCCATTTCTACCCAAATGAGTTTGTTATGCTACCCCCACAATATTGGGCTCACAAGACACGTGTCAGACCCCCATTAGATGTGGCGGCTGGTTAAAAAAATATCCCAAAATCTCTTCTTAAATTCTCGTTAAGTCATTGATACACTAACGATTAATCGCGCTTAAATCTTGATGAAAAAATTGAATAACTAATTTACTGTTTTATATGGGCTATCGGATCCTATAAAATAGTGTGTTTTGCAGTATTTTCGGCCAGCTGAACTCTTCTTCTTCTCTCCCAAAGCTCTCTCTTTCTAAAACACTCTCTCTAGTCTCTTCTCTATGTAAAACAGAAGAAACTAAAATCTTGAAGAAGAAAAGCAGAGCAGAGAAATCAAAGTTTCCATCTGGGTTTTTTTACTCAGTATTTTACAGTATCCACTACTACAACTTTCTGCGATTCTCTTCAATATATATTCCATTCCCTCAACTTTTCTTGAAATATTTTTCACTTTTCTTCATAGTCTATCTATAGAGAAAAAAGGTGTACGAAGCTCTCTCTTTAATGCAAATGCAAATGCAAATGGGGAGTCTCTTCTTTTGAGTATTATTACTTTCCTCGAACTTTCTTAATAATCCTAGATTTTTTTCATTCTATGGTGCACTGTTTCTCTATTTAAACTTTGCTCTTTCTCTTTATTCTCAAAGAATCTCTTACCCACCATATTCTCTTTCGCCTTGAAAGGGACTCTGGAAAAAAATCTCTCATTTTTGAATGCACAACAAGAAGAAATATGTTGACTAATACAAGAGTCAAGTACAGTGAACACTTGAAGCAAACTACAATCGTCAGCAAGCCAGCCGGAAATTTCATTTCCGGCAGGAAAAAGCCTTCCCAGACGGAGATACACTCCGGCGCCGGAACCGCCACCAGGACCGTCAGGTTCTCTGTCACCGACGCTTATGCAACTGACTCCTCAAGCGATGAAGAGGATGGCTTCTTTGTTAAACGTCAGAGAGTAAAGAAATTCATAAACGAGGTGAAAATCCAGCCATGTTGTAGAGAAAACAGGAGTGTAGAAACTGTTGCTGCTGCTTCCACCGTTCTGGGAGGTAGCAGGCGGCCTTCCACGGCGGTGAAACGTAAGAAAAGTAGTGCTAGACAGAAACAGAACGGCGGAACTGACAGTCAAAAAGTGACAAGAAATGGAAATGTGAGGAAGTTCCGCGGCGTACGGCAGCGGCCGTGGGGCAAATGGGCGGCTGAGATTCGAGACCCCTTGAGGCGTGTACGGCTGTGGCTAGGCACTTATGACACGGCGGAGGAGGCTGCCATGGTGTACGATCACGCGGCAATCCAGCTGCGCGGCCCTGACGCTCTCACTAATTTCTCAGTCCCGCCGCAAATGGAAAACAAAACAAACTCAGGGTACAACTCCGGCGAGGACTCCCACAACACCTTGAAATCACCCAAGTCTGTTCTCCGATTTGTCTCAGCGGCTGACTCACAAACTGAAGTCGAAGCCGAAGCTGAAGCCGAGTCGTCGTCGTTCTTTTCGCCGCCAAATGATGCTGTTCCGTTAAAGGAGAATGAGGATATTACCCTATGGGAGAATTTCTCGGACTGTCCGATATTTCCGTCGGTTGAAGATATGTTCCGGGAATTTGATGATCCGCTTCCCGTACCCGATTTGTTTGATGAAACGGGTTTTGCAGATAGCGTCTTCGGCTTGGATTTTGACTGTTGCGACGACATGCTTGTCGGGTCAAGTTATAATACCGGGTTTGGGCAAGCGGATGACTACTTTCAAGATTTTGGTGATATATTCGGGTCGGATCCTCTAGTTGTTCTTTGAGTTCTGAAGAGGAAGTTAAGAACGCTGTCGTTTCAGTGAAAGATATTGCACAATATCTGGATTTGCTGATTTTTTGAGAGTTAAGAATTAGCAAGAAATAAGAATCTACATCTTTTGCTAATTGAGTAATTATTGGATATTTTTGTCGTCTTCTTTTTTTCTTTTTTGGGGGTTTCGTTTGGTTGACGTGAATTTTTCAATTTATGAGTAGTAAATGCAATTATAATTATTTTCATTATTTTACGAGTTATTTTTCAAGACAAAACAAGTATGTCATCACATGACTTGCAAAGTTATGAATTAGGTGAACAAATAAAATGGAATGACTCCTATCAAATGCATTTACGTGTATATATTAAGATGGAAATGAACCATTATTTTGGAGGTCAAAGATTCGTCCAGTCGACAATAAATTGATGATGTATGTGTGTACATTACACATCAAACATTTCGAACTAAATTGATGGGGGAAGGCATTGCCTTGGCATGATTCTTCAGCATATGTCGAGACTTCGCTGTCATATTTTTGAAGATTCATACCATTCTAATTGAACCCTCGTTGCAATAAGTATGGGCAGACAAGTATTGAGTTTGTTGGGTCAAGCCAATTTATCATGTTGAGGACATCATGACTTGTATCGATGGTAGGTTATCACATTTATATAATTAGGTAACATGGTACAATATTATTGACTAATTCATTTAATACAAATTTCAATTATAGTGTCAAAAATGAGGCTGGGGTGATGACATTTATGTATGATAATTCTTTGAGACAATTATCATAGACATCATTGTGCTTTAGACAACATCAGAAACATCATTTACGTTTAAAAATCGTATTAAGTATTACATATACCTACACTGATCACTTTTTGGGCTGTATGATCTAAATTGATGTTGATACACCTAAAATTTCTTTGTGAAGAAAAAAAAATGAAATTTTCTACCATGAATTGAAATTTAATTTGTTCCTTCTAATAATAAATTAATAGATACATAATATGAATTCTAATGAAAACTTAAGCCTGAAATTTGTTGAAAATTTTGGCAATAAATATTTAATTATTTAATAAAAATTAACACAATTTAGATAATATTTGGCTTAATTAGAAAATTTGTGTTTTTTTCACAACAAAATTTTAAGTATTTCAAAATTATTTTACATAATATATATTCAAAAAGTGACAGAGAGTTATGTGATACTCAAAACCACATATATGATAGTTCTATTGAGATTTGTACAATGAGAAATTGTATGTGATATTATCATAAAATTGATTCCCCTTGTACACGAGAATTGCTGCTAGAAATTCTACACGTGTTATGCTGACAGCACCTGCTTGGTCTTTTATTTATTTATTTATTTATTTATTTTTTTGTCATCTTCCAATAAAAAACTGTCAAGTACTCCACCCCCACCTGGTAATTCCCCTGTGAAAGTCCCTACGTACATCAAGCATTTCTCTGATAAAATTAATGGGGCGTCTTTATATTGTTACTCAATACTTTTTGCTCTTACTTTTTTTAAGTCCGCAAAGTTGGACTAATATGGTTTTGAATCCAAATTTACTTTAAAGTTTAATTTTAATATTCAATATTTCGTAATTTTTATCTAGAAACCTCAGCTAAAAAATAATGGCAAAAGCCCAAAGATTCATGTCTTAGTGGACATATTTCTATAAAGTAAGCATGCGTTTTGACTTGTTTAGGACATTTATTGACAATAAGTTACCCTAAATCCTGTATCAACCTGTTAAGCTTAGTCGATTAGTCTCATAATCAAGAAATAAGACTTACGGCTGAGTCGTAATTGTTTAAAGTGATGAATTGGGGGGTGACAAACGGATTGAATGGCTTTTGAGCCGGGTTTGTTTTATTTTAATTTTTTATTACTTTATTAAAAAAATGAGTTAGATCATTGACTTGTGGATGACTCGGCTCATCGATAGAATCGAGCTATTCTTGTGTGTCTAAGAACTGAGTTGAGCCGAACCTGCTTGATCCATTGCAACCCCTAATCCCATAAAGCCTAACCTCGACTCATAAAAATAAAAAAAATCAATAAGAATTAAGTATGCACAAGTAATATTCGAAAAGCTTGTAAATAAAAATGTTACTATATTTGACAAATAATTTCAGAATAGAAAATGATATCATGATTTGGAAAGGTAGGCAAACGTATTTGTCTTTGACGACATTTTTCTTTGGGGGACACAGAATCATAAATCATCAATGTATGGAGACGCCTGCGGTTCTATTTCCCCAGGTGATGTTCTTTGGGACCCTTACTCGTGCTGGCCAATTTTAGTAAATCATCTCAACATTAGTTTCAATACGTAATCATTTTAAGTAATTAGTACGTACACGTATTTATTATCTGGTTATATTGAATCTTTTAGCATACGAAGTGTTGAATAAGATGCAGCGGCGAAAAATTTGCATGTGATGGATCCCAAAATATGTCGAGAATTACCATAGTTTTCTTCTTGTTATTTTTGGAGTAGTCAAGTTCAAATTGTTGTTAACGTGTTTGATTCTAATTTTGTAAAAGTATGCGAGCTAAAAGAATAACAGTAAGAACAAAGATTAAATGATAAAGTATGCTTTCTTTTTAATGAATTTGGTATGAGTTAGATGAATCTTTTGGATATTGCTATGTGTACATAGTCATATCTATAGGAGTGTACATAATGTGAGAGGGGTGAGGCCCGCGTTATACACATAGCAATATCCATAGGGGTGTACATAACGTGAGAGGGGTCGGGCCCACCCTCTCTCACATTATGTACCATGCTATGTACATAGCATGGTCCGAATCGTTTATCTATGTTCTATTCGGTTAGTTGCTAAACAATCAAGATATCAGAATTGCCTTGATACCAATTGTTGTGAAACAAACCAGCGGATTGAGATGTTGAAATTATATGGCAAAAAAGAATGAAGTATATGATCAAGTAAACGAATAATAAAGACACGAATACGACAAATGAATTAAGAGATTTTATTGACTCGAAAATAATGAAGAATAAAGAAAAATTACAATAGATCCTATAATTCTAGTAATCTATTTTTTCACATCTTTAAAATTGTATTTGTCTAGTATTTATAGGGAACATGTAGGAGATGTCCAAACCCTCATAGTAGAATTGTTGATGAAGTAGGATTCTAAAAAATTGAGTCCAAAACAAATTTTAACTCCCAAGGGCTTCCAAAATAGAATTTCAACTTGATATAGGACTCCAATAACATTCCAAACTGAATTCTTCTAGATATACACTTCAATTAGAATTCTTTAATTACTTTAACAAAGAATTCGGATCACACCCAAATTCTAACAATCTCCACCTTGATACGAATTTCACCAAGGAATGAACTAACTTCTTAAACAATAACAAAAAAATTAATTTTTCCAACAAAACACAAAATACTCCACCTCTTCCAAGGAATTCAAGCACTACTCTACAAAATTACCTCAAATTCCCAACAAATCATAATGATTTTAAAATTCACCAAATTGGGCTGTAACGCACTCCAAAGCAAAATCAAACTCAAATGCTTTTAAAGAAGGCACCTTGCTAAATTGTATACTTTCTACTCCACTTAAAGCATGTTCAACAAAATTAGCATCCACATACCTTTTTTCACTAGGTCCCTCTATAGCAATTGAATACAATGGCACCGCTAGTGACGGTGGCAAAGCGGCATTATCCATATCTCTTAAACTTCACTGAAATGTATTCTTTAAATTCGACCATTATGAACTCCTAAAGGTATTGTACCAAACTGAATGTCCACCATGGTACTGAATTTGTGTGGATTGACTCTTCTACATTTTGCATGACCCTGGAAGATGTATAATTGAGACATACATTTTCTATCTCTCCAATATAACTTGGGCACCCTTACAAACCTTCAAAACTCCACATCTACCAAATAACTCATAACCCTTTGAATCAAGGATAGACAACGAGATGCGATTTTTCTTCAAATCTGGAATATGTCGAACCTGGCCAAGTGTTCTAATTGTCTCATCCAAAAGTTTCAATCTGACTAAACCAATTCCAGCAACCCGACAAGATGCGTTGTTTCCCATAACCACAATACCTTTGGAAACATTTTCATATGTAGTAAACAAGTCCTTATTAGGACACATATGAAACACACATGTTGAATCAAGAATCCAATCATCTTCCAGTATAGATTCAATGTCAGAAATTGCTAAGAGATCTCTATCATTTACAATGTTCTCCTTAAATGTTCTCCGCGAGGTCTGCTTTGCCTGAAGTATCTGAATATCTACTTACAGCCATCATTTCTATATTCTGTAATTTGTAGAAATACTTTTTCAAGTGCTCTTTCTTCTTGCAGTAGTTACAAATTTGATTACTGAAATTAGATTTAAATTTGCCACTTCTAGAACCACCATGAACAACCCGGCCTTCTCCATCTCTGGCCTCAGAACCATATGTTTCATCTTTTCTTTTGAATACAAAGTATCATACACTTCCTCTAAGGTGAAAGTATCACAACTATACAAGATCGTGTCTCTAAATGAAGAAAACGAAGCAGGCAACGAACATAATAGGATCAAGGCCAAATCTTCATCATCATACTCTACTTCCAAAGTTTTCAAATTAGCGACGATCTCCTTAAATACAGGTACATGAACTCCCAATAATCCTCATTCTGTCATTCGATGAGAGTATAAACGCTACTTGAGGTTCAACTTGCATGTCAAACTTTGCTCTAACATCAACCATAAAGCAGCTGTTGAATTCTCATTTAAAACGTCCTGAAAAACAGTATTTGATAGATGAAGATGAATGTGAGAAACTGCCTTCTTATCCTTCCGTAATTTCTCCTCTGCGGTCAAAATTGCGGACATCCTGTCAATTCTCAGCAACGCATCATTCAAATTCAACTGTACGAGTATTGCACGTATCTTAACCTGCCATAGTGAAAATCTAGTACTCCGATCCAAAAGCGGAATGTCATAT